TGTTATTGATTTCCCTACCCCGAACTTTTCAGCTGTTGTCCTTCAGGGCCACATGTCCTGTCTCTCCCGTTCTCCCAGCTCTGCCAGTGGGGTACTGCTGCCAACTTCCTTGCGCTTCCTCGTTTTCCACTTCCTGTTTGTCTAACTGACGTGTGACGACCGTCGGGTTGCCACACCAACGCCCTGGCCCCGGCCCTTCTCCCAAATTCCTAGCGTTATGACTGCCCCCGAGCCCCATCCCGTCCCGAGCACTTTATCCACCACTTATCATGCATAAAGTCTAGAATTTGCCGCACTTTTTTCAAAAACCCGACTAATTTGATCCCAAGGCGCTGCTTGAGCCTGTCAGGAGCCGTTCCTCTTCGCCTTGCTTCCCTTCTCACGCTTCACTGCCTCGCTGTGATTTCCTCAGTCCACCAAGGCGTGAAACATTTTTTCGCAACCTTGCGACCTCTCACGCCCCCTCCGCACCCGCCCCTTACCCCCCTTCGCACACTCACACAGGCATAGAAATTCAATATTGCTTCTCTATGTCTATGCTAATGAATGGCTCGCGAAGGAGAGAAATGCGAGACAGCGAGGAGCGGGAGAGAGGAAGAGCGGGGAAGAGCGGGGAAGAGGAAGAGGAAGAAAGGACAGCTATTCTCTCCCGTTCTTCTGCTCCCTCTTCTATTTATTTTTCCGGCTTCCTGTCGGGAGCTTCTCTTTTCGCTTTCGCTCCGCTCCGCTCTGATGCCTTTTTGCGGTTTGACGCAGCAACTGAAAGTATGCAACACTTTTTTCGCATGTTGCTTTTTGCATATTTAATGGCCGACTCGACGGGGACAGACAAAATGGCGGCGTACCGTTTTTTCGGCTTCGTTTCGGGCCAGCCGCTCTCCTCTCTCCTCTCTCCCCTCCCCCACTCCTCCATGCGGTTAGGCGTTGATTTGTGGGCGCTCCGCTTGCTTGTGTTCCTGCTGCTGTGCCGTGTCTATTTGGGGTTTCGGGTACGTATATATATCTTCCCCTGATGTGACTTTAATGAACTGGGCCGCTGCCGTCGAAAATCAATAGGAACAACAGGCTTCAAGAGCCCCCCTCGAAGATCCTTGGAACGTCTCGCACCGTCGAGTGCTCTCGGCTCTCCGGCCTGTCACAATAATAGGCAAATGCGTCGCAAGGGGCGGGCGGCAGACTTCCTTGCCAGACAGACAGACAGACAGCGCAAATAAAAAAGTTGTCAACTGTCTTTGGTTTGCGACGGCTATGCAAATTTTTATCGAATGCGGCACTTTAAAGGCGGCAAGTGGGGAGCGTCGGCCGACAAAGTATCGGGGCTTCCTTTGTTCGCCAGGACTTTAAGGTCAACTACCGTGTCTACGCGGTGAAAATTCGAGAGATGGTAAACAAATGATGGGGGTATTAAATACAATTCTAATTCAACTAACTCATCAATCAATTGTCAATCCACTTTATGAAATTGAGACTAAGTTATTCTGTATTCTTGAGTAAAGCACATTAGTAATTTGCGTAGTTCGTTTGTTTACTGGTGAACAGTGGAGTGCAAATCAGTGACCCCCTCCTACAATGGCATTAAAGCGACTATTTTAGTTTCTCCTCTTCACTTTAAACACAGTTTGCTTCGCAGGTGCGCTACTGTTTCCTTTGTTGGGGAACCCATTCTTCAGCAGGCTGCTCGCAACTATGTTTAATGCTTCTTCCCCGCTTCTCCTGGCCATTTATTACAAAATCATCAAAAGTGTTGGCCATCAAATGTGACAATGGCGGGAACGAGCTGCCTCTGCCTTCGCAGGTTGCTTGTTCTTCTCGGCCCGGTTAGACAGTTGCCTTCCGGTGGGGCTCCACAAAGTCACTGCTGACTCTGCCTCCTGTGTCTGCGACGTCATTTGATTTGATTACGACTGAGGGGAACTTGAGTCGCAGTTGTGCTGCTGCCTCTGCACAGAACAAAATGTCCACTGGCTGAACCAACCGAATTTCACAGTAAAATTCATCTTTTGTCCTGTTTTGACGGCTGAAAGCTCGACGGGAACTGCAGCATTCCGAAATACATTTAAACATTGGCTGGCCCATCTCAGACGTCATTTTGCAATGCATTTGAATAAATATATTTTGCTTTCTGATAAGGATATTTCGTACTAATCTGCCACTAAACTATTTTTGTGCTTACATGTAGGTTGCACAAACACATACTTCCTGTAAATTCAGTGAGTTTTAATGTGGAATTGGTTGGTTCTGCCAACCGATTTTTGTGTGTGTGCTGCTGCAACTGTCTGCTGGGCTGATGGATTATATGACGTTGCCTGTCTGCCGGGGAGCTGAGCTGGCCCGCATTTCGTTGGCTTTAAGATGCCGCCCAGCAGCAGCAGCAGCAGCCCTGCAATCGCAGCCAATTTGTCTAGTTCTGGAGCCTTTCCCCTCCCGAGGGCCTCCTTGCCAGTCGGCAACCACACTCTGTTTTAATGCTGTGCTGTCTCTGGCTTGATTAGCGTCGCTGAATTGACAGAAATTGTCGCCAGCAGGAGTCGCACTCCTCCAACCAGGAGCAGCTAGCCAGCCCAACAGGACCCATCCTGCGCAATTTGCGTCACTTGTGTGTGCGGAGTGCCCCAGGGCCTTTCAGCGAACCCGGCTGCGCATTTTGGCTGCGTTTTTCACATCTCCGATCCTATCCGCCCGACCCAAGGCAGTGCGGAACGTCAATTGCTTAATTGATCAATTTAATTTGACACTTATTCAAACACTCGGAGCGTCGCGGGGCAAGATAAATATCTCTTGCCCCGATTTCCAGCGCAGTCGACGGGCCTTTGTGTTTCGATTCATGCAAAATGTGCCCGGCCATGTGGCATACTATATATATATATACATACCACTCGTATATATGTACGTTCGAGAGCGGCTGCTGCTCGCTCCAGATTCTTTTCCACGAAAACTGTGCTTCGTCAATTAATCAATTGCTCTGTGGCATTCGTGTAATTCGCTGAATTTTTAGTTGTTTTCCCGCTCCGTTCGTTAAAAGTTAATCTCCGCAGCGCTCTCCTTTTCGAGTTAATCAGGAAGTCCGCCCGGCCTGCAGTTTGTTTTGAATTCTAGCGCTCGGCCGCAATTTGTTTTGGTTTTCAAGCCCTCCGATTGGGGCGGCCTTAGTGGCTGAGGGCTGTGGGAACATGTTGACATCTCTGGCGGAACTCTTTTGATTGATGGCTCCTCCAGCAGCCCGTTAGTCCAATTAGGCCGCGTGGTGGGGAGATAACCCCTCGGATAACCCCCCATTTTAGCTAATGCCACCTATTCCACCAGGAGAGATTCTTTCGGCAGCATCAAGTGCAACCTGCAATGATCGTCTGGGGCTGACCACGCCCCTTCCTGGATCCCCGCTGCCGCCATTATTAGCTGACCATTAGGCGATAAATCTCGCTATGACAGGCAGCAAAACTGCGGCCCCTGGATCTGGCTAATGCCACTCTTTAGAGCAAATCGAGCGAGTAATTAACTAACTGTGCATTTCAATTTGTGAAGTATTGGCCGGCGAAAAATGCTGGCGAACAAACAGGAAACTGTCCGCCGGCGGGGAGAGTATCAAAGCGCCGCCAGGTGGCATCTGCGAACGGGGCAGCGGCGCGTGTCACTATTAATTTAACCTACATCGCGAGTCTGCAGCAAGTTGAAACTGTGACAGCCAGCATTTCTCAGGTGCTCTCCCCTCCGGCAGAGTTTTTCGAACTCGTTGTCGTTGTCGGGCCACGGGGAGCTGGGCTGGACGTTGAAAGATGAGCAATTAGGCACTGAGTTATCGACAAGGGCCGAGTGTGTGGATGGGGGTGGGGGGTGGTGGATGGGTGGTGCACGAGTGTGTGTGGCGGCGGCCCGTATCCAGCAACCCGGCAACATCAGCTGCGTGACAAATTGCCCCATGACGCAGCCCGTTTTCTGCATGTCTGGCAGAAAGGGTTACCTTCGGTCCAGGCCCTCCAGCTGCCACAACGAGCTGGGAGTACACATTTATTAGATCGAAATCAGGCAACGACAAGCAGGCTCCTTCTGCCGCCCTCCTGAGACGCCGACTGTGAGTCCTGGCCGATCGAAGCGATGGCAAACACATTTCTTGGTGTCCGCCTCCCGGGTTCCCTGACCTCTGTCCCCTTTCGCCTCTAATGAGTTTTCTCGGGAATCGGAACTCGGTTCTTGGTTCTCACCTGCATCTCAGCCCATTAAAATTAAAGAACATCAAAAGAAATTTGCAAGCTAAACACAAGCACGGAGCACGGAGCCCGGAATGTTCTTTTGCCGGATGCCTGGACGGGCGGCATGTTCATTATCTCCCGGCCCTTTGGCCGCCTTCAACGGTAGTTGGCCCACCTTTTCCACAACTCTGCCACACGCTTTGCATAAGCTAAATAAGTTTCCCGGGGAGCGTCTGCCCCAAAAGGCTTCGCAGGCTGTCTCCGTGTGCTGTGCTCCGGTTTTCCCGGCCAGCCGGCACTAAATTAAAGCGAAAACTGGCTGGCTGGCTCTTCGGTGAATGGACGGGCGGCCGGAGGATGACAGTCTGTTTGCTGTGGCCGCTTTCTATGGCACTGCTCACATGCCAGCCCCTGTGGAAATTGTTGCGAATAATGTTTGATGAAAGCACAGAGTCATCTTCCCCGCCTGCCGCCCCTCACGCACACCCACTTTGCATCCATTCAAGCCAGAGAAGCCGGAGTCTGACGGGAAAAGTCAACGGAGACGATGACTTCGGGCAGTGGCAGGTTTTTGCAGGCCTTTGCCTTCTCTGGCGTCAATTAAGTTTCGGATTCGAGCGCAGTTGGGCAGGGCGCGGCGACAACTGAGCTTGCTCTTTGCCCTGCACAGGAAAAAATATCAGGATTGATTTGAGATAAGTTCTTTTGAAAAACGTGATATTGATTCAGGCAATTCCTTTTTTTTTCTTATCTCTCCTACTAAGTTAAATGGCTTCTCCAGTGCACTAAAATCAACTTTACTTCTCCTTACAGATCTCACTGCCACCTAGAACCACCGCTATGCAGCACACGTCGCCCAGTGGAGCGATTCCCAGCCTCATCAGCATGTTCTCCCGCCAGTGCCTTCCCCACCCCGCCCGCTCACCACCCACAAAGGCCGCCCAGCGCGGTCCGAAGACCTCCCCCCACCCCCGATGGAGGTTCGGCCTTTGGACGCTGCTGATCGCCAGCGGCTGCCTGATGCTCAACGCGCCGCCAACGACCGCTTTTGAAATCGGTGAGTTCAGAGGGTGGGCTCAGCCAATGGGTCAGCGGGCCAGGAGTTGTATCCAGCAGCACCTGGACGACGCACCATCCCCGTTCCCCGCTCTTTGTCCGCTCAGTTTATTTTAATTGACACTGAAAGCCATTTCGCCACGGCTCGTCATTGCGCGACACGCGGCGCAGCTGGATTCCGGCCAGAGAACTGCTCCGCGGGGAGTCCTCAGCCGGACATGTTGCAGCATCCTCAGCCACTTTGGGTTTTTCTTGCAGCTTAGTGCTCAACTCAATAATGGCGTATTGATATTTTTATGCCGCATCCGAGGCAGCAGCCCATCAAATCCAAGAAGGCTCTGCGTTTTAATGAAGCCATCGCACGACGGCTTGGGATTAAGTCAATATGAATAGCCATGGCTTGTCAGCGCTTCATAACTTCAATGCAATACAGACGATAAACACTGCAGAGTAAGACATGGGACACTGCAAACAGAGTTTCGAAGAGGCGCTTTTTGGGCCCAACTAAATGGTTTGACTTGCATCTCCATCTCCGTCTGTCTGCCATAATATTTATAGTTAATCAAGCAAGCCAAATACATAAATACGAATCTATAAACAAGTTCATTTCGGATGCTCCGCTTCGGGTCTCGAACTCCGAGGAGCTCTGCTGCCATTGCCCGCCGTATTTGCCAACGCACCCCGCCCGCCCGAAAGGCAAACACTTGCCAAAGGAGCCTCTGCCTTGTTGGTTGGGCCAGACACATCGAGGCGAGTTGAGTTAGCAAAACATGCAACAATTTTCCAAATGAATGCACTTGCAATATGCAGTGCATGTCGGATCCAAGTCGGGGTGAGGCTGGCTTTTGACCCAACCTGGCCCATGCACCCAGGCAGCAGGCACTTCGCTCTTCATTTGCGTAGCCGGCTATCAAGTCCAATCAAGCGTGAATGCACTAGAAGCTGCAACTCGCAGTGGAGATGGGAAAACTTGGAGTGTGTGTTTCAGGGGGGTCACTGATCACCCTGCGACGTACCCTGCACAGAGATATTTAAATGGGAACACACTGGGCATGCCAACAATGCAACTGAGACGGAGCCTTTTGAGTTAGCTGAAAAGAAAAGCAAATAGACAGAAATAAATCAGATTCTGAATCGGCTAGTGCAATAAAGAGGTTAGGTGAGCAGGAACTCAGGTTGGGGCACCTCCACTCTCACTCGAATCTGCCCAGCACTCGCATCACCAGGCCAATTTGAACTGGTTGGCTGACTTCTCCCCGAGCTCGCTCCTGCCTTCCCGTGTGATATTTATAAACTTCTAAGCGAGTGCGCGCTGCCTTGGCTGGAGCAGATCAAAAGTGGGATTGGTCGGGGCTCCTGCTGGGCCGGGGCAACAAAAGTCGTGTCAAATCAGTGTTGATTCCGTCGAAAATGTCAGCGGGCGACTGTCGGGCGCGGACTCCTCCCATTTCAAAATTTCAAAGGCAAATGAGCGGAGGACTTGCCTCCTTCGCGAATGCAATTGGCGGGCCATAAATTAGGTAAGGTAGTTGACGTTCTGCCATCCAAGTTGGCTGTGGCTGTGGCTGTGGCTGTGGCAATGATTAAGTGTTTAGCTCCCGCGAAATGAGGTATAGGGTCGTATGTATAATAAGATATGGCTGCGACTCCGTCAGGCTGTGAGCATCTTCTTCAAAAACCCAAGCTGACACTTGAAGTTTTTGATAGATTCGGTAGGCGTTGCCCCGGGACTTCAGTGCTTTGGATCTATATTTACAGACCGCTGCTTGATGTTCGCCTTTATTAATTAGCGCTTCCTTTATTATCCAGACTAAACTAAAAATACATCCGTTTACTTGCAGCCACGTGCAACGTGCCCCTCGGCATGGAGTCGTTGGTCATCACAGATGCTCAAATCACAGCGAGTTCGGCCCATGACATGGGCTTCGTTGGGCCCCAACACGCAAGGTAAGTTCTGGTTTGGTGGGAAAGCATTACTGAACGATCAAGTATTATTGGAAAGTACGGGGAAAGAGTATGGAAAGGGACAAAATGATTTTCCTTCTGAAACCTAAGCTCTAACTTAGAACTACAGAGCAGGCGGTACAATCGCTTGCTACTATGACCATTCCCATTCCATAGCATCCATAGTTCATTAACCATTTAACCCGAAGCTTATCCTATGTTATGCCGCAGATGGGCCTATCTGCACTCATTTAATTGCTAATTTTATAGACAACTTCGTTAGCCGATAAGGGAGTCAATAAAAGAGAACTTCGGCCACCGCTCAGCTGCTCGGCAGCGAAGAAGCGGAGGGAATTTGTTTAATGACACAAACAGTTTGCCCAATAAAATGCCAGGCAGCAGACCCAGAGACAAAGCGCAGAAATCGAACCTCACTAAATACCAACCTAGTTTGCATATCCGTGGGGCAGAAAAGAAAATATTTGGTGTCGGCCAGCGCCTTTGGGGGCCATAAAAAATCTGTCCGTGGACTCCACACCCGATGTCTGAGTCGGCAGCCCCTTGCCCAGATAATTAAATGCGATTTCCGAAGTGCACAAAACTCGTTTCCCCTCCCACGGCCACAGAGTTCAAGCGAGTTCCCTCGCCAGCTATTGCTCTCCGCAGACGGGTTAGTTTAATTTCGATTCTTCAGATTTGTTTACGTTTGCCGAAGCGTGTAAACACAAGGTTTGCTTGGGTGCGGATATGGTGGTGCCTCCAGGAAGTTCGGAGTGCAGAGATCGGTAGAGCGGTAGTTTCGCTGGCCGCTGCCATGATTGATGACACCATCGGGCGGGCTGACTATCGCGTAATTAGTGTGGAGCATCTTGGCGGGGTGGGTGAGCCATAAACTTGTCAATTACGCCATGAATTATGGCCAGAAATCAATGCAAACACGGCGCGCAGATCCATTCTTGCCGCCAGAATGGGCTTCCCAGCCCGCAAGAACTTTCCGTTCGCTTTATGGACATGCACTTAAAAAACACTCCGGCGCAGGCTGACTGACAGCCGAGGCACCACCACAGAGGCATCATCACCATTAACCCTTTATGGCGGTACTAAAGTATGGCCACAAAGACAACGCGTGCTGAGCACGTCGGAGATAAACAAAGTGTGTTCTGTGTTTTCTTTCTGTGGCAGATTAACCGGAATTTGGGCTGGGGCTTCGAACTTGCGAGGGGACTGGGCCTCCATGGGTCTGCGATGCGGGTAGGCTCTTTGGCCGGCGGCCACTGCCAACTGACTCACCTGGGAACCTGCCTGCTAGGATCCCCGCAGAATGTGGGATACTGGTAGTGGGTCCGTGGCACTGCCAAGTGGCTCAGATTGACAGGCGATGTCTGATTGCGATTCCTGAGAGGCAAAGTGGCAAAATGGCAAAGTCGCAAGAGGCTGGAGAGCAAATGGAGGCGCGGCGGATCGGAGCAGATATATTCATTGGGCGGAGGTCCGCTCCTCCGAGCTCCAATTAAAGAGTGCTCTTGCTGGAGCTGAAGAACTGTTTCCCAAACTCACCTAACTCTAATTTCCCTTCGGTGGGCCAACTTTCCGCTGCAAGAAGCACTCCCAGAGCCTCCGAATATCCCCACTTGCACCGGCATTCGGAAAGTCTTCAAACTCCTCGGAGCCCGCAACTTTCTCTTTTGTCTTTCGACTCCCCCTCGACCTCCTCAACGACCTCCTCCTCCAGGGTCTGCCCAATCAGGCGAGCTGCAATTTGCTTAGCCCAAAGTTGCGCAGAGTCAACCAGCAAAGTTCAAAAGTGCAGGCAGCATTATAATTTGCGGCTGCCGTGCACTCACCTAACTAGACTAACTAGCTGAAGAGCTGAAAAGCTGAAAAGATGTGCTCGAAAGAAAGCCAACGTAATTCATTTCGGGGAAGGGGCCGACATGCACTTACGACAAATCACTGGGAGGATCGACCCCTCGGGAGGCCATGAGATGACTGCGATGGCTGCGATGACGGTTTGTGGCCGTCTGGGGCTATTGAATTACAGAGATTAGTTTAACGACAGTTGGCGCTGTTTGATTTTCATTACCGCGCCCTTCCTGCACCGCCTGGACCGCCAGGCCATTAAGTTTACAGCCTTTTACATATTACAAACAGCCATCTGGATGGGAAAAAATCGGAGTCCTCCTCCGTCCGATTAGAAGCAGGAGCCCACGGCCACGGCCAGCACATCGGACAGGCAGTTAGCCAGTCCATCAGCGCTGAAATGAGCGGCCGACGGTGGCGCAGATTGTTAACTTTGGCAATAACAATAATTAAAGTCGAGTTGAAATGCACATAACTGCGGGTATTAGCATTTAAAACGATGTTTGCCCGCTCCCCTCTCGGGTCCTTCGGCAACTAGTGAGGCAGGAGAAGACGGAGCAGCACAATGGGGGAATCCTTTTTTATGAAGATTAAATTGACCTTTTCCCGGCTGCGGGGATGCTCCAGTGCCGAGACCCGTGCACTTCTGCGTGATTAGAGTCGGTAATGAATGGCCCAACGGCCAGAAATGCTTACGTGGACAGTGCTGGATGTAAGCCGAAGTATGCATTGGGCAGGAAGTGTTTGTGGGAAATAAATTTTTCAGTTTTTAACTGGCCACTCCACTTCTAAGCTGGCCTGGCCAACCCAACTCGATGCATTCGAGGTGCTCACGCAAAAGGGGCGGGACAGGAACGCTCTTAAGAGGTTCGAGCCGGAGTGCACTTAGAATCCGAGTGAGCCAGTGAATAAACATCGCAATCGAATTCAATTCCAATAGCCCGCTGGCAGCCACAGGTCCGAAGACCAAGACAAGCGGCCAAATGAAGCAATTTGCCACGGAGGCAGCGGCGACAGGAGCCCGAGTCACTTGACTTGACTTGGCTTCGGGTGTTGGGGTCCAGGGGTCCAGGGGTCCAGGGGTCCAGGCCCATGAGTAATGGCCGGCATTAAGGCGGCCGAAATGCAATCGGCTTGTAAAACTTAATTGAAATATAAACCGAGAGCGTGGTGGAAGTGGTTAACGTATCAATGCGCTCGATGTGGGCCCTCCTCCGACTGAGAATTGATTAAAGCTAGGCCGTCCTTCCCGTCCCCCTCGGGGAGTAGGGCGAATTAATCCTTAATTACACAGACAAGATCCTGCTGTGTCTAAAACCGCAAACCGCTTAACGAACGAGACGAGCCGCCAGTCGACGGACCGCAAACGCAAGTGGTTGGGGGATTCAATGGAGGGGGCTCCATGTGGTGCCGAACGCTCAGTGTCAATTAACTTATAAGAACGCCCCTTCCAGCTTCCGTGGATGCCTCTGGTTAACAAACTTATCCGCTCCTCCGTTCCGTTTCAGACTGAAAACCGATAATAACGGCGGAGCCTGGTGCCCCAAGCACATGGTGTCCAACGCCCTCAAGGAGTTCCTGCAGGTCGACCTCCTCCAGACGCACGTGATCACGGCCATCCGGACCCAGGGCCGCTTCGGCAAGGGCCAGGGCCAGGAGTACACCGAGGCCTACGTGCTCGAGTACTGGCGCCCCGGCTTCGACAAGTGGCAGCGCTGGAAGAACATCCAGGGCAAGGAGGTAGGTGTCCCACGGTGGCCCACGGAACCTGGAGCCCAGCTAACCCGCCTCTTCCTCCGCAGATCCTGCCCGGCAACATCAACACGTACAGCGAGGTGGAGAACGCCCTGCAGCCGATCATCTTCGCCTCCAAGATCCGCATCTACCCGTACGGCCAGTACGACCGCACCGTCTGTCTGCGCGCCGAGATCGTCGGCTGTCCCTGGGAAGGTGAGTTTGTCGGGAAGACCAGAGTGCACCAGAGTGATGACGGGTCGAAGGGCCAACAGGGCCTTAGTGTCAGCGCTTGGTAATCGCAATTAGAGGGGGCGAAAGCCGCTTAAGTGCTCGTGGACAGCCTTTTGCCGGCTCATTAGATTGTCTTCTTAGGCTGTTAAGAGAAATCATTGGAATTTCGATTCTACCACAGTCTGGGAGTTACAGAAACTAGCTTTGCTCCTGATTCCGAGCTTTGAGTCATAAAAATCGTTATAACTTTCGGATAACCCATCTTTTTTTCAGCTGAATACGCATATCATATTATGGCAGAAAATTCGGGAATCAAGCTTAAACTTTTTTTTAAATATCTTCAGCAATGCCTTCAACAAACTTTTTCATGAGGCATTCTATTTTACTACATTTTAACAAGATGATAACTTTGTTATTAAAACATACGACGCTACAACACTCTTTGAAGTAAGGCACACATTTGAACAATTTAAAAATTTGTTTCATGCTTTCAGTTTTGATATTCTTCCCACACAATCGCTAGCCCCCTTAAAATGCATAATTCCATTGGGTTTTAGTTAACGCATCTAAGCTCGTTCCGAAATCCTTCAGTTTCCCCGAATCGCATGACCCGCACGCCAATCTAAACCTAGAATTTTCCAGGCAATGAGTGGCTCGAACCACGTAATCCAATCAAGGCGACTGCTCCCCTCGTGCTTCCCGAAACGAACTTCCCCCGTGTTCACCCAAACGAACTTCCCCAGTTTGCACTTTGGAACAAGCCGCAGCGCATTCGTGATTTTTTCCCAACATATGGGCAGCGCTACTTGACTTGTCGGGATTTTTTTGCCAAGAGCAGTGTACTTGAAATATATCGCGTGCAGACATTGCAAAACACCCCATACCAAACTTACACTCGTGGCCAGACCCGACCGAAATCGAAATCCCAGACGACGACATGCCGAGCACTTGGAACCCTGGGTCCCCTCTGTCCTTCGATGAAACAGAAAAGCAGGAAAACAGAAAGAAAGCCACTGCACTGGTAAAGAGAACTGTTAAAATGGTCTAACATCAACGATTCTGATCCCATAAATAACAAAAAGGAACTTTTATCAGACCGATACCAAGTTTATATCGTAATTTTATATCACCCCGATCGAATTGTGGCATTCTGAGACAACATATCCCTCGATATCTGATTATGCTCTCAAGTCAATTCCGATGTCGAGTTTAGAGCCTCAATTTATTAAGCTCGTCACTTTCTCTCAGTGTACTCAAACATAGCCAGCCCGGGCTGATGTTCTAACCTCTGCGCTGTCGTTCTTGCACGCAATCGTCCAGTAATAGTGCACGAGTCAGAAACAGGTCTGGACAAACAAATTTTTCCATAATTTCCACAGGTTGAGTGCCGAGTTCTCCGCCAGCAGAGCCAGTCAGCAAAACGCGCCTAATGACAATTTGTAGAGACGTTCCCCGGGGAGCGGGCGAAGGCGCGGAAGTTGAAAATTATTCTGTAAATTAACGCACTGTTTGGGGCTGGGCTTTTGGGACGAAACTGGGAACTGGGAGCTGGGAACTCGGGTTCCGGGTCCCCTGATAAGAGGCGCCATTTGTGTGTGCGGGGGACCCACGCCCACTTGGAGCGAAACGGGGTATTTGGGGTTGGCAGTCATGCAAACCCCTGACCGCTCACATTCTGCGGACTATCATTTGATTTGCCACGGGGAATGTGAACACGAGAGCCGACATGGCGCATTTCGTATGCAAATTAAACAAGATAAGACGGGAGTGGACTCGGCCACCGGAGGACAGATGGGTTTAGAGTCTAGACAAGTGCCAGACAGCGGGACAGTGGCGAAGAAATCAATAAATCTCGATTCCATGTCTGCGTCGATTTCATTACGCGATCATTAATCCACTCGCAGAAGACCCCAATCGAATCATAATCGTTTATGGATTCCGGCAATAAATTTTCGAACCTGGTGGCATTTGAATTTGAATCGATCTGACCCCCTGTAAGGGGATAAATGGGCCGCTCCCGAAAGCGCCACAGTCGTAAACCGACGAGTGGTCGGCGGAGATAATCTCCGACTTTGAAGCCAAAATCAGGGCTAAGCTTGAATTTGTTACGGATTAACAACAGCTCTTTGGATCAAATCGGGCTTGCATATGGTAGAGTGCATTATAAATGCAGCAGCTGATTAGCGTAAGCCCTGGATTTATGGGGCCCACTGTTTTGTTGTTTATAATTTATGTTTATTTTCGGTTTAGCGTTTAGCATTTAAAGAGTTCGGCAATCGGGAAAGATTGGCTGGCGGTTGGGAAACCAAATGTGGCTACGTGGGTGTCTCCATCGATTGTGGAAACAAGTTGGGAAAGCGAGAGTGTAAGCGGCGTTAAGATTGCGAGGAGTGCCTTGTCCAAAGCTAGTTTACTTCCGAACTCCCTTTGGCCTCCATCAAGTCCACCGAGACCACTTAGCCATCCATCTTGCGTCCTCAATTTGAGTCATCAGCAAAAAGCGCGATGACATTGTTGCCGTTGCGTTGCCGTCGTCGTTGTCGTTGTTTTTGGCTTGCGTGCCACATCCAAAAAGGAGGGAAATTACATTTTGTATATTGCAGTGGCTGTCTTCGAGGCCGGCAGCCCCTCTCCTCTCCCCAACTGGCAGCCCCGACTGCTCCACGCACTTAAGGACTCGTTCTTGTTTTGCTCATTTTTCGGCAGACTGTCGCGACACGCAAATAAGGATGGCATGCAAGCACGCGAGGAGCAGGGCGACCAGTCACTGCAAGTGGAAGGGGGTGACGGAAGGGGGGTCTGCAGCCCCCTCTGTGAATCTACCCCTCTGCCCCTCGTGATCCAACCATGTGGGGCATTGCGTGAACGCCTTCGCAGCGAGGCAATTGCAGGACGCGCTGCCTTAAATGTCTTTGCAGTTAATTAAATACGCCATATACCGTTCCACTCGGCTTGATATCGTGTCGGAGGACTTATCTCCCGCTCGCCGTAATTCATGTAATTAAACCCAGTCCCAGCGGGCCGAAGGCCATGAATAATAATTAATATTTTCGTTTCAACGAACCAGCGAACTCACATGATCGATACGGGCTATCTGCCACCTGAGCGCCATCATCATTATCTATGCCCGGTGCGTGGGAGTCCGCTCCATTTTGTGCATACGAGTCCTTAATTACGTGTAATTATGTGATTTTTGGTAATTATTGGAAAATTCCTTCGGCCGACTTGCCTGCCCTCCTCCGAGAGTGTTTGACCGGGTGTCCTGTTCACCACGTGACCCGATTGTGTAAATAGAATTCTAGTGAATTAGTCGAACGTGTGTATGGGTCCCCCAGAACATCGATATCGGAACACTCTTTTTCAGGGGTGTCATTATGTCGAGTGCCCGGCAACCCCGAGTGCCGCCAGTTGTTGGTTTTTTCGGTCCTGCTCTAATTGTTTTCGGGGGCGGAGAGGATGGCTATTCGATTTTGTAATTAGTGTCAGGTGTTCGATTGGTGGCCGCAATCGTCCTGTTCGAAAAAGGGAAGCCATGGCTTAGGTCTTCCTGGCTCCGCCTCGGAAAGCTAATCCCTCGTGTGGAAACGCATGACTCAGTTGCGGTCTCCTCCCCAGCGAAACATTTGGCTATGACATTGAAAAACTATACCCTGGATTTCCGGACCCCCTTTCGATTTATGCTGAACACAACCACAGAGTGGGAGTGAGCGGGACCAAAGTAGCCGCAGAACAAAATGCGTTTCAAGTAACTCAATATTCTCAGCACTCCCGAAACAGCTCACTGGCTTTCTGACACTCCGTTTTTGGGGGAGTGTGGAGGGGAAACTTTTAATATTTCGCGGCTTAAAAGGCAATGAATATACAGTCTCAAATTTAAAACAAAGAAAGTCTGATTTATATATTGTAAAGTCTCAAGTTATTTATTTGTTTGCTTGTTTTTATAATTTTTAATTTTATTTTATTCAGCTGCATCATCGAAACCCTTTACAGACGAAAATCATTTGTTGATATGAATATATAATACATAAAAGCAATTTTGAACAGAGAATTTAATTTTTCTTAATGATTATTATTATAAGCATTTAACCCAAAGTAATCTTACTTTCTGTTGTTTATGTACTTTTCGTTGGTTGGGTCGCTTACAATCAATTTTCTATTATGGTTTTGTACAGAACTCAGCGTTTTGTCAGACATTTGTCCTCCCCTCGTGACAAGATGCGTTCTTTCCTTATGTCGCATGTGCGATTGCCCCAACCTCCCAGTGCCCTCACTCAGCAGATCAGGTTTCGTTATTTCGGTCTTGCGTTTTGTTTTAATTCCCAGAACTGCCACTCAAAACTTCAATCGCCGCTTTTCCTTCTCCCTTTCAGAGGGCATCGTGTCGTACAGCATTCCGAAGGGGGTGCAGCGCGGAATGGAAGTGGATCTCTCGGACAAAACCTACGACGGCAACGAGCAGGGAGATCGGTTTGTGGACGGCCTCGGCCAATTGGTGGACGGGCAGAAGGGCAAGGACAATTTCCGCACCGACATCCATGGATTCGGAAAAGGTGAGTTAACTAACGATTCAGACGTTACCTTTCGACCATCGCATTTTAATAACGAGAATTTTAGAATTTGAATCGTTTTAATAAATTCGTAGTTTTTAAACTTCAGGGTTAAAAAAATATGAGAAATGAAAATCGCTATAATTTAGTTGACTCTGGCATACCCGCTACTCACTCGGCGTGTCGAATGGTTCACAACTTTTAATATTTTGATAGTCTGCAAAAATTGAGCATCGTCGATTGCCGAAATGTTAAAAACAAAATAAAAACTTTCACCATAAAAACTGTACCACAACATGCAATAAAAAATGTTGTGTAGCATAGCTATAGTCTCCCCATTTCGCCTTTATTATTTCCAAGACCTCTACAGCAGACAGTCGGACATTGACTTGTCTGATGATCTTTACCAAGAATTTATTTATTTTATGGGGACGGAGTAGTTTCTATGTGCACTGAAAAATACCCGTTTTTAAAGTTAAACCGTCTCTTAGAATCATTTGTCTTAGCTTAAAAATCTGTTGACCCAGTTACTTTCAAGAACCATGAAGTTATATAATATTTAGTGCCTTTTTGGTACTTTGTATCAAATATCCCACACAATTTTACATGACGATTAACTGTTTATAATCAAATCGAGAACGTAAATGCACTAGAGCAGAAGGCTCTGTCTAATCTGAGTATACCAGAACTCGCGAGCAGAAAATAAATTATTGCGGTTGAGATACTAACCTTACTTTCATCGTACTTTCACCCCAAATTGGCTTCCTACTTCTAACAACGACCCACAGTGCGACGAAGACCCATTGAAACCGCGAAGACAGAAAAACTGATTTACATCAAATAATGACTAAAGTTCACCGACGAAAAAGCATAGGGCGACCTCTGACCCCAGCGCCGCGCAACTCTCACTTCATTGAACATCGATGGCGACGCGTGGGGGAAACTTTGGAAACGTTGGCTTGGCAAATAATTTGCCTGCACAACACAATAAACAAGAATAAATAAGAAGTTTGGACCATTTGCTGGCGTCGCAGTTAAACATGCCGGATACGAATTCGAACCCGATATATAGACTCCCCGCCCCTCCCGTTAGTCCTAGTAAAAATGTAAACATTATGCATAGTTGATAATTTATGGGAACACTGGCATTCACTTCCGCCCCAAAAGCTGCAGAAGTTCGGGAATTTGCGGAGCTTGCCAGTTTGCCTTTCATTTGCCTGCCCGCCCCTCCTCGATTACGTCGAGTTCTTCGTGGATTGGCAAATGGCCAATAATCGCAATTATTGAAAACTTTGCGCCGGAGCGAAGTTCGGCAGACAATTAGACATGCAGTCGCTGTGTCTGTGTCTGTGGCAACTCCAGACGAGTCGAGTCGAGTCGGAGTCGTAAGGGCAACGCGTTGCATCGAGAAAGTTTCCGGCGCATAATTCCGATTTCCCCGCACCCCACACTCGCACAGCCCCACTTTGATGGGACTTATTCGTCCGTCTTCTGCTTATTTGCATTGTAAGTGGGAATCAATACTCGGGCGGGTAGACTCCACTTCCTGCCGCGTGCTGCTCCCCAAGAAGGAGCAGAGCTCCGGTTATGGCTTGTTTTGCGATCCCATAAGCATATAGCCGCGGCGGCAGCAGCCCACCCCCTCTGCCCACTCCACACCCCGCATCACGCCCCCCGAAGTCCTCGCTAAGCCCCCACGTAGGGCCCCGCACCTCCCCACCGAAATTAGGGCCATGCACACAAGGCAGCAGCAGAAAAAATGGCTTAAATGTCGCATTGGCCATTATTTCTGGTTACAAGAGTCGACCCCCAACCCCAGCCCCACCCCTGTGTGCCTGCCGGGGGCATTTATTTGTTTTGGGACATTTCGGCATTCGGGGAAACTCCACCCCAAGTGTGCCGTTGGCGCTGCCAGGTAGGGAGGCTTAAATAGCTTTACATGTCAGTCCTCCGCAGGGTTGCTCTATTGATTTTCCCTTCCCGGCGCACGAATGAAATGTTCATTTTATGTCATTTTGATGGTTTTTATTCATTTCAGGTTATGAATGGATTGGCTGGCGTAACGATACGCCCGGTCTGCTGGGAAAGCCGGTGGAAATTGTCTTTGAGTTCGATTCGGTTCGCAATTTCAGTGCCATCGTGCTGCACACGAACAATATGTTCACCAAGGATGTCCAGGTGAGTTACGGCTCCTGTTGCCCAAGAAGAAGTACATTCCTCGGAGCATATTGAATGCAATTAATTATTGTGCCGGGGCTCAATTCCGACTAAGCCCTCTCAAGGTCTAGACAGAAAGATTAAAATATTATTGCAAACGCTGAACGGAAAAGTTATGTAACGTCACTCCCTCCTTTGCTGATAAATATCTCTTAAATTACCCATTTTTACTTGGTGACATCGCAAACTTGGGAAGTCAAAGTGGTGCTTACAAAAAAATATTTAGTTATTGGATAAAACAGTTTTCAGTAGGATACAGTAGATGTATTAAAATTTTAAAATTAAAAGCACTTACAAATAATGTTTTTTTCTGATTGAATTGCCTTTACGTAAATAAACAAGATCCCTTTAGTATATTTAATTACGTAGAAGATCAATTATATAATTAGGGAAGAAAAAGGAGAAATGGTGTATCTATATTTTTGTATTATATTTTTATAACAACTCCCAAACCTCATTTCCCTCAATAGGTGTTCGTGCACGCCAAGGTGTTCTTCAGCATCGGCGGTCGCTACTTCTCGGGGGAGCCCGTGCAGTTCTCCTATATGCCCGACACCATAATGGATCATGCCCGGGATGTGACCATCAAGCTGCACCACCGGGTGGGCAAGTACTTGAAAATCAATTTGTACTTTGCCGTCAAATGGATTATGCTGTCGGAGATCAGCTTTATATCCGGTGAGTATGAGTACGTGGGATGCCGGGGAGCAGAATGAGTAAAATTGGCAGGGAATTGCATTTGCCAAGCGAACAGTGAAGAAGCCTCCGAGGAAATGGAATCGCATACGTACAAATGCACTTTTCAGCTTCATTTCACTCTCGATTATGCGACAACGCAGCGGAGGATGGGGAAAGCAATGCATTACTCTTCGCAGAGGATAAAGCATTTTTCCAACATTTTGGCTAACAACAATGGCCCACAGTGACTGGCGAGAAGTGGGAAGTTAGGGAGAGGGACAGCCCAGATACAACCGAGAACAAACAAAGTGCTGCAGAACTGAAGTCAATTGAATGCACAAATCCCCTCTGTCTGCTAAATGTAAACAATCTAGGGGTAGAAATATCTGAGGCCCGAGATATGCATTGCACTTTCAGATGAAGTTACTATAAAATCCTGCAAAAGTTGTAGAGTTTTTGGCTGAACCCCCGGGTACAAATTACTTTATTCGAGCACAGCGGTTCGGTCAGTGAACCAAAGATCGCTTGCATTCATTGGGTGACTGGGGTGAATCCACGTAAATCCGCCCGTCGCCCGTCGCCCGTCGTCATAGGGTGTGAAAAAGGGAGGGGGGAGCGATTCCCCTGGCATCGCGTTTGATTGATGAGTTAAACAGAGCGTGCTGTATGAATAGGGATTTCCCTGCTTAGCATTTTCCGGGCAGATGGCGCATGGATTTCGGACAGGCAGAACCTAATGCATTTTCGAGGGAAGTCGATCAGGAATCGAACCCAGCTTAATTTTATAAGTCAATTAGGACGTCAGAGGGAGGGAGAGCGGTAGGATGAAGGTTGATCGCCTTATGAAAGCACTTAAAAGGGTTTTTAGGTTCCAACAATAAAGGAATGAAGAATGAAGAGGGATACGTTCCGATTTCCATTCAAGGGTAAACCCAGTGCTTTCTGTTCCCGTTGTATTGTTAGCGGGAAACCTTTTTAAGGGAAGTTCTTTGAAGTAATTCAGAGAGTATCTCCGATCTTGGTGATCAGTGGTCTTGAGTAGAGTGCCGATGGCATTACAAGGCAAAAAAGGGCTGGGAATTCCGAACGGAGCCTCAATAAACAAAAACCAGCTCCCATACTCTGACCCCCCACAGAAAAAGCATGACTAGCGGGAAAACCAGGCATTTGTCACGCACACAGGACGGGAGTGGGACGGCTGGGATCCTATCGAGTGGGTTGCAAAGGAGGCTGGGAGGCTGCCAGCTGTTTTTGGTTTTGTTTTTTGTTTCGGGCCTCGAGTGCAGGCCGTCGAGAGCGAAAACTGGGGTAAGGGTAAACAAAAGAAACGCACGCTCGAAATGGCAGGGAAGCGTCTTTCGAGTGTATGCGTATATTTTTATCAGGCACTGTGCTGGTGCGAGTGTGCACAGATTTAACCCCAATTTGTGAGATTTGCTCGCGGTGATTCCAGTTGTTGTCAGGGAGCCATCTCGCCGTTAAAGGCTTCTAAAAATACAAAGCCAAAAAATAAGAAAACAATGGCGGTACTAGAGAGAGGCCCTGGGGACACACAAAGAGAATTAGTTATAAAGGGCATGCGACAACAACGGCGGGATCTGCGCAGTGTGGCAAAGGATATGCGGCACATTCGCCATTGCCCCGGACCCCGGACCCGAGTCCCCTCCCTGTGTGTGTGATAAATGTGGCACGAAATATTTTAATTATTTTAAACGTTTTATGGCTCTGTGGTCGCTCTGCTCGGCCGGCCGATGCCAGATACCCCTTGCAGGGAAGCGCTCGGGAAAAAACACTGCCACCCGGAGGACAATGGCGACGGCGAAACAAAAGACACCAGTACAGCCAGTCCTGTCTGAGGACCGGGCACATAACTCAAAACAGCTGCCCCAACCCGCCACTTTCCTCCCGCAAGAACTTCACACAGTAATTACGCCATTTACTGTCTGAAGAAACGGGGTCACCCACTCGAGGAAACGTTTTCGGGGGGCGGACAGACTGAGCATACGGCCAGCCAAGCCATTCCGCCTCGTGGCGCCCAAGATGCTTGCGAGATAAAACACATTCCAGAAACCATAAGCTGGGATGGCTTTGGGCGAAGATCAAAGGGCTGTCCTGGTGAGCGGGCCAAGGGACAAGTGCACAGGTGTTGCGGAAAAGGTATTAGCCGGATGCTTTTTAAGCCCAGGGGACGCAGGACATACAGGCAGAGGGTTGGGGCCATGTGATGGGTAGTCGATAAACAGAATAGCAGCTGAGCCGGCGAAATCTAGCCATGGAGGTGGATCAAACTCTAATCCAGCCCCTCCCCTTCCCTGATTTCAGTGCCCGCTCAGGGAAACTTCACCGACGAGCAGGAGCAGCGCAGCAACTTGGCGAACCTGCCACGGGACTCCCACGACGACTCCAAGAACTACGAGTACCAGCCCAACAAGAACAAGCCCAACGGAGTGGGCGGCTCCGCCGAAGGCCTCGGAGAGGGCGTGGCCACGGCGGGAGGCGAGTCCGGCGGCAACAGCAAGTACAACAACGGGCCGCAGTGTAAGTAGTCGAGCGGGATAGCGGGATAAATCCAATTAGCCCTTTCTCGCGAATGGCCGATCCATTTCTGCATTTCTCCACGTCCTCGGACGCTGGCTAATTATTTAGTTGAACAATATTTACATTTAATTTCGTTTTGTTTCGTTCGGACGCGCGCGTTTGTTAATTTAAATTTCAATTTGCCCTTTGCTCTTTTCCCTGCAGTAATTGCGCCACGGCCCATCGATCAGGAGCCGAACGACGCCAACTTCATCGGGGTGGTCATCGTGGTGCTGACGACCATCATAATCCTGCTGGTGGCCATCATCCTGTTCATCGTCTCGCGGACCAAGCGGGCCCGCGGCAGCAACGTCCTGGACGCGTTCCAGTACAGCTTCAACCCCAACACCCTCGGCGGGAACGTGGACAAGCACCGCCCGAACGGCAACAGCATCAAGGTGGGTGAGGGTGGCCATTTCATTCCAGCCCGAGCTCCACATAATTGTTCAATGTAGCGTGGAGTTTCCACACTGCTTAGTCCTACGTGAGGAGCCCTCCGTCCGGCGTTTACTTAATGGCGCTTTTCAGCGCCCGGCGACAGTGTGCGTTCTCTCTTGATTTGTGGGGGTCGAGCTTAAGTGGCTCCAGGGCTCCAGGGCTCCTTGCCGAAACTTTAAAGTCCGGCACCCGGCACCGGAGGTGGGAGCGGAGCGAGTCTCGTGATAAAATTGGATTAAAGAAGTTCTTCTCGAGTGGAAATTAAGAGTGTTGTGTGCGGAAACTTTATCATCAGAAACGGGAATCCGGGGGCGAAACTATTGATATGGAGGCGGTGCAACAGATGGACCGAGATAGGGGGTCCGCTGGCCAGCGCCCCATTAATCGAGTAACCGAGTGCGGTCCAGCAACTGAAAGGAAATTGAATGGTTTCAGTCCGGGTCAGAATGGCAAAAAGCTCGACGTTCTGAATAAATCTTTTCCATTACGATAAACACGTAGTTTATGCCATTCGATTGTGAAATCATTTGAGCAAGCGTGTCTCCGTGAGAGGGGAGCTCCCTGCGAATTAGGATGCATGGCAGCAGTGCCTTGGCAAAGGGTCAAAGGGGAACTGGGGCGGACCTTCCATCATCCGATGGACAGAGGTCGCTGGGCGAAAGGTGGGGACTTCCACTGAAGTCCGAAGCTAGATGAAAAAGTTTCCCAATAATTTGCTTGCTCACAACTAACTGCTCCGTGCCTTCCAATTCCAATTCCAGGCCAACGTGGACGACAACGACTCGATTGGCAAGAACAGCCTCTACCACGAACCCTTCAACGTGAACATGTACACGAGTGGCGTGAACGGCTACGCGGCGGTTAATGATTTACAGTGCAACATGACGCCCGACTACACAGGTGTGTAAGCCCCACAAACCCTGCTCCTCCCACCCGCCCTCTTCCACCCTCGGCGGACTCGTTTCCGCCAGTTGGCGCGCAGAGAGCCATAAAATGTGGCGCTGCCGGCGACTAATGCAAATAAATTCCCACTAAGCAGACTCTCCCCTTCTCCTCCTTCTCTCAGATGTGCCGGAAGGAGGCTACGCCGTGCCCCACATGCAGGACTACATCCCCTCCTCCAAGATGGCAGGGGGAGGGCCCGCCGGAGTGGGCTACGTGAACGTGCGCCGCACCCCGCCCCCGCCGCTGAGCAGCATCTTCCCCCGCCCGCCCACCGTCCCGCCGCCGCCCATGGAGAAGTACTACGCGACCACGGCCATATTCAAGCCGTTGAAGGGCCCGGGCTCGGAGCGCAGCGGCGGGAGCAGCAACACCAACACGGTGGCCAGCAGCCACTGCAGCACCGGCGGGCAGGACCACAGCGGCATCTACGACGACGGCATCGGCACGATGAACTCCAAGGCCACCGCCCCCATGATCAACCCCTACGGCAGCGGGAACAGCTCCTCCTCCGCCGCCGCCGCCGCGGCGGAGTTCCAGCGGGCCCGGACCTACAACTTCCGCAGCTACCCCGACAACCTCTAGTTCGAAGCCTCGCTCCAGCTGGTGGCCGCGGCGGAGCCGAGGGCCGCGGAGGCGCCCTCTCGCCGTGGCGCGGCCGCCAGCACCACCATGCCGAAGAAGCCGCACTCGCATCCGCACTCTCAGCCGCAGTCGCAGTCGCAGTCGCAGCACCTGGGAAGGCACGGGGCCGGGCCGGGGAAGGGCAAGTACAGCCTGACCCTCCACAACGGCAAGCTCGCCCCGGTGAGCGTGCACCTGAAGTCCGCGGCAAGGACGGCGGCCGCCGACGGCGACTCCTTGGGGCACCTCGGCAGGCCGGCGGGCGACGGCAGAGGCGGAGGCGGAAGCGGAAGCGGAAGCGGAGGTGGAGGCGGAGGCGCAGGCGACAACGGACGGGGGGGGCGAGGGGACGAACGGTGCCTCGAGGGCACTGAACAACAGGCTGTGGTACCATTGATGAAAACCCAAAATTGAATGGATTTGAGGTAAGTCGCACAGACTGTTTTGCCCTGCGTAGAATTCGGGCTTATTGAGAGCAATAGGCAGCTTAAGCACTGTAAATTCTGATTCCGTACTGGCAGTCTGTTGAATTTGCCCAGAACAAATACATAAACTCTTTAACATGGATCAAAATAAAATAAACTCACACGCAATCGGTCCTTGAGAAGGGTTCCGTGAATCTTATTTTTGGTTTGCGTGTTTATTTGTGACTATTGCGTACATTCTGTTTGCGCTTAGTTATTTCTTAAATTATGTTAATAATTATGTTAATTAATAAAGGGAAACGATTTGAAAGAGACGGATTTAAAAAACATACTCCGAAGAGATTTTTTTCGTAGTGGTCGCAATAATCGATTTTATTGGAGCCGTTTAAAGTGACAAAATTTTTATAAATATTCAAAAGAAATAATAACAGATTTTTATTATTTTCCCGATATTGTTTCTGTACAGTGTTGTTTTGTTTTTGATCCCCTTCTCTGTTTTTATTCTCACGGACTCTCAAGTTAATATATGTATGTCATCTTTTTTCCTTTACGCAAAGTTCAAAAGTTTTTTATTGACAAAACTTGTGTGTCCAGATTCGCATAAGTGATTTGCGAATCCCATACACTGAAGTACTATTCAGAATACCATTTCTAGACCCAAACCCTTTTCGCCCTGGGAGTGAATTGAATTAACCCCATCTCCGCATCTCCATTCTCATCCCTTACAGCGAGATAATCTACAAATGCAACACAACTAGAACGCTACTCCGAAGTCAGGTTCAGCAATCTGAATCCCACGCTAAAAGGGCAGAGCGGTCAGAGGTCGGAGTTGGAACTATTAAACCCACTGAGCAAGCAGAAACGAAGCAAATCGAATCGAAATCGAACACGAACACGAAAACAAGTCGCCTACCAATCATTTATATAGTAGAGTCGAGCATATGCCAAGAACGTAGAAAGCGAAACCTGTTTAAAACACCCTGTAAATATACGAGTTAGGATCTGGTAGTGAAAGCCTGCAAATGATATGATAATTATTTCGGAGAGGGAGCGCCACAGGAGCGCCACCATCGGACGCACCGAGGAGCAAGGATATACACGAATAAAGAAAATATTAAGACGAATTTAAGGTCTAGCATTTAGCGACACAATTTGTTTATAAAACGAAGCGGGAGATAATATATTACATAGCTTATAAAACGTTCAACTGATTTGTAGTACTTTTTCGAGAGGAGCACTGGAAATCTGCTACTAACTGTACATGCCTGTGAATCTTATCCTGACTAACCTGAACTATCGAACTATCTGAACTATCCCTGTAAGCGCCTGTACCCACACTACCTAAGCCCCACTGTACATTTTCTGTGTATAAACTAGAGACGTAGATGGTTTGCTGTAGATGGAACGCCACGTTAAGCAAAAGGATTTACTTAGGTAAATTGTCGATCGAGGTGAGATGATGATAAATTGAAACGGAATTTAACGGACCAAGAGAGCGTGCAGAGCGACTTCGCCTAAACCAAGAAAATGGAGTTTTCATCAATGATTTGTGATTTAATATTCAACTATTTATAGACCCGCAGATGCGAGCATTCAGTTCTCAATTCTAACCCTAATTTACCGAAACATACTACCCGTAAATGACTCTGACTATAAATGAAAGCTCTATGAATATAAAAACAAATCGTATTTATAATTAATATTAATGGATAATCATGTATATGTTCCTTTTTAGTTTAATGCGCATTGATATCACCCGGTAAATTAATAAGAGTTAAAAGTAGTAGCTTCGTAGTAGTTTAATAAATCAGCAGCAAAGATAATTTTAAACAACCGAATACATATGCAAACAATAGGCGTGTTGGAAATAGCGATAAAAACAAACAGAGCCACACACTCGACATCCACTAATACACTTAAAATTAGTTTAACTAGCGAAACGTTAAAATAAACCAAAACAGGCACACGATCCACACAAACAGAGTTTAAGATGTTTGTGCAGGAATTTTCAAAGGTTTTAGCGAGAAAAAAGTAAATCAAGTTAAAGTAAAGCAAAGGTTACAACAATATTTAAAGTATTTAATATATAAGGCTTCGAGATTTGTCTGTATGTATTCCATAACCTTTCGCACGAATTCTAAACTTTCCAACTTTCCATTGCACCAAAGGATTGCCTTAACTGGCCCACTGATACACACTATAACAGCAAGACACGAAAAACACTGCAAAAAACACTGTCCGCCACTGAAAATTACTATCGAGCAAAAACAAATCACGAACCTACCTACAAGACTTGTGTAAATTATAAAAACCTAAAAGAAAGCTAAATAAAACGATTAGAGATTAAGTTAAAAAACATTTTGTAAAAATTAACGAAAGCAAACTGTAAAAACTAATATACTAATGTAATGGTTATCCGGTCTTTTGGATCACGGCAAATGTCATTTAATTGTTTATTTGCGGTGCGCTTAGCGGTCGATATTCCGACTAGTTTAATTTCTAAATTAATTGCATTTATTATGTGTACATTTTTCGAAGGCAAATATATAGTATTCAATTATTTAAACAGCGAACGCCCTTCGTTTTATTTATTATTCCCGGACAGAAAGGCGGACACGCCCATAAACGAGGCTCATCGATGTCAGAGTGGGAGTGGTAAGTTCTTCAAAAGACCTTCTACAGCTTATTCAACATTATTAATACAAAATGCTGTTCTATTACAAGTGCGGCCTTGTTTGCGTAAAAGTGTGAAAATTTTTAAAAACTAAGTTTTTACTTAATGAGCGTATTCGATCCAAGTTTATTCCAAAAAGTAAAGCTTATAAAATGGTGCAAAAAAGCTAGCAGACGGAAATGGCTAACTTAACTCAGATGATAATCCGTTCTTCTGTTAGACATTCAGGCACATTAGTCATTGGCTTAAGTAAGGTCTAGTCTCTAAAACTTTCTTAGTCTTAACACTTCCTCCCTGCCCTGAGTCTTTACAAAAAGTTTTTACCTATTGTACGATATTTCGGAAAGGCCCGCATTGGACGGCTATCTCATATAGCACATATTGGCACCTCGTTGATTTTTTTTATACCTTTAGGGTATTATAATTTCAGTCAGAAGTTTGCCACGCAGTGAAGAAGACACCTCAGACCCCATAAAGTATATAAAATCTTGATCAGCATCAAGATTAAAATAAGCCTGTCCGTCTGCCCTCCTGTCTGTTTCTATGTAAACTAGTCTCCCACTTTTAAGGCTATCTTGCTGATCCGGTCGGATCGGGCGACTATATCGGATAGCTCCCATACGAGAGAATGAACTAAACAATTCTTACGCCGTTGTTTTTGATCAGATCTACTTGATTTCTTAGTGATGGCGTTTTCTAACTACATTTGAATTTCGGATTGAATTTGATCAAAATCGGATAACTCTATCATATAGCTGCCGTATGAAAGATCGAAAAATATACATACAAATTATGGAAAACAAGAAAGGAAGCTAGCTTCGGCAAGCCGAAGCTTATATACCCTTGCAGTTACTAAATATGTCGAACAAAATGCATAAAAGCTAAAGAGCATCGAAGCTATGACGATTTCTCTATTAATTTTACATATTGTTCATATGACAGCTATATAATATAGTCGTCCGAATTTAATGAAATTTAAATTGTAACTCAAGACTCGTTAGAAAACTCTATATTCCAAAAATCATTATTGTCTGATGAAAAACAAAGAGGTTATAATTATATTTCCGTTATTTCTATATAGATTTTTCGATCTTTCCTATGGCAGCTATATGATATAATACTCCGATTTTTATGAATTTTTTTTCTTGATTTAAGAGTAATTGAAAAACTTGATGTTCCAAAAATCATGCTCGTGGCATTAAAAACAACGACATTATAATTTTTTTTTCCATTATTTATATATATATATTTTGATCTCTCCTATGGCAGCTATATGATAGAGTTATCCGATTTTGATAAAATTTAAACCGAAATTCAATAGCAGTTAGAAAACGCCATCTGGAAGGAATCAAGTTGATCTGATCAAAAACAACGGTGTAAAAATTTTTTATTTCATTCTCTTGTATGGGAGCTATCCGATATAGTCGGCCGATCCGGCTCGTTCCGACATATATACTGCGTGCAACAACTACACAACTTTTGGGAAAGTTTCAGCAAGAATGCTTTAAAACTGAGAGACTAGTTTACATAGAAACAGACAGGAGGACAGACGGACAGACAGACAGACGGACAGACGGACAGACGGACAGACGGACAGACGGACAGACAGACAGACGGACAGACGGACAGACGGACAGACGTACATACATATTTCGATTCAGATGGTGATGCTGATCAAGAATATATATACTTTATGGGGTCTGAGGTGTCTCCTTCACTGCGTTGCAAACTTCTGACTGAAATTATAATACCCTTTGCTCTGCAAGGGTATAAAAATGATAACATCGTTGTTTTAAATCCCACGTGGATGATTTTTAAAATATAACCCTTGAATCGAGAAAAAAATTCATTAAAATCCGAAAACGTTACCATATTGCTGCCATAGGAAAGATCAAAAAATCTAAATAGAAATAACAGAAATAAAATTATAGCATGGCATGATTTTTGGAATATAGATGTTTCTAACGACTCTTGAGTTACGTTTAAATTTCATCTAAATCGGACGACTATATCATATAGCTGTCATATGAACCATAGTCGAACATATGGAAAATTAATGAAAAATCGCCATAGCTTCGATGTTGTTAAGCCTTTATGAGTTTTGTTCGACATATTTGGTGACTTGTTTTCGAATATATTATTGGCATTTTTATTAAAGATTTACTGTGTTATAAAAACTACAAAGAAAATCTTCGGGATGAAGTCTTTGAGATATTGAAACGACCTTCTATGTTAGAATCTAAATATAAAAAACCTTTCTGAATTCTGGCTTGTGGCTGTTGACAGGACTGGACTATTTTAAGGCACTGGATAAACAAAAATGATTCTCAAAGATAAACATATAGTCAAGTTATTCTAAACAAAGCTGCCAATATGTGGTATTGACAAGAGGCAGAAGTACCATCCTTTGGGACCTAATCTAGGAAGTTAAACATAAGTTGGTGTTTATATAGTTGAGAAGGCCTGAAGTTCCCCTGGGGCAACAATCTATAACTTGGGCTTCTTTTATTTCCAAGGGGTGAGTCAGAGTGACATCTGTTTTAATTTCACGCCAATTCCGTTTGAATGCAGAAATCGACAACATAATGAAACTGTTGACCGCAAATTGACGACTGACGACCAACGCACAGTGGGGTCACACAGAGGCAATGGGCAGAAGCGTATAAAAATCCGAAGAATATAACATTTTTTACCAAAATAAATTTGTATCTTAACGAATGATTCTGCATTTTTTATATAATTTTTTTAACCGACCTTTTTTGTAGAAAAACTTTTATTACAAGCCATTGATCCCAATAAGTAGTGTAAGCCAACTCTTGATTCTGTGAAGACTTTAAAAGCATACAGTAGAATCCTGTTATAACGTCTCCGCTTATAGTGTCCGTAGGGGTTTTGTGATGAAAACTCGATGGTCCTCTTTTTTTTAGCGAAAAACCTCTAATACGAACGAAATTTTTCACAAATTAACCGGATATTGCGTCGTGCCAGAAAAGAATTCACCGAAATAATGCAAAAAATCAGTTTGATCGAGTTTTGAAAACTTTCAAAGATAGCTTTACTTTATTTATCTTTGGGATAGATCCAGAAAATACATAGTTGACAAAGCTCTGTTACTATTTAAGACACTGCTTAATTACTTTGGTCATCTGATTTTTTCTCCAATAACCAGATTGCATTTCACTCGACCGTGTTTAAATTGTCACTTTGGGATTTTTGGCACTGGAGAATGAATTAAAGGATGCCCTGATGAACAACTGAGTGACAGGCATTCAATTCGCGGACCATTCCAGCTGTCCCACCTGTCAAACATGCCAGTCAAAATTAGCTGAAAGCAATTTACGAAAGGGAAAGGAGCAAATGTGTTTATTTCCTTCTTTTGTCGGATGTAAAAATGCGTAAAAAACTCTCTCGATTCGTCGCATTGTCTGCCAGTTTGCTCAGTTCGAGTCCCAACGCCGAGTGTTAAACGATTTTATTTGATTTTGTTCTACTTTATTTATTTTCATTGCACTTTTCGGTTTTGTGCCCGTTGTTCATTTTGCTGGCTTTCAATTTGTAACACTTGTCGTCGTTTATCGCTCCTTTCAAATGACTTTATTTGTTTCATTATGTAGACCTTCCGAAAATATTTGCGAATAAAAGGGTTCGACGTGTCTCTTTCTCCTCCAGTTGAGTATGTGCTTCTGACCCGAGGATACACAAGGAGAATTCGATTTGTCAACGGGAAAACATTTAAAGCGTGAACTGTGACAAAAACCAGTTAAGTTATTGCATATAAAAAAAAAAACTAAACTGAAAAAGTACCGCTCTTAATTGGAAAAATACTGCGTCAAAATACATTCAAAGGAGATTTGGGGGTTGACGGGTTCTTATGTTTTCAATTATAAATTGTTTTTTAACCCACCCTTTGAATGGGCTACTCGTTTAGAATTCTGCAAAAAAATAGAGTATACACATTCCCCAAGAACATATTGACATAACAATTCAGTTTAAAGTATGTGTGTCTTTCAATTTGTTATAAAGCTTCTTGACAGAAACCATATCCTAAAGCATAATTGCGATTGCAGAATTATACTTTCGGAATATGTACCTTCGGAATTTTGGAGTAATGAACGGCATTAACTATATAAACAATATTATATATTAGCGTAGCCTTTTACACTTAGCAGAGTAAAGCAAGTAGATACATTAATCGCTGACAAAAAGAAAGCTCCAATTTCAGAGTTGTCCAAATACTTTGTTCGATCGTTTGTTAACGTATCGACCAATAAATTGTGCACACTTAGCGGAGTAGCAGGACCGAACAGCAGATAAACAGGAGGAGCTCTGCTGGGAAAATACTAACACTGCACAAAAGACACTGGGATCGAGGGTGGGTCTGGAGGAGAGCAATTAACACACTCGAATCTGGAGTTACGCAAGCGGCACTCCGATAGTTAGATAAGCAAATACTGGTCCACCCCACCGGCCGGGCAAAGGATGCCGGCAAGGACTAGCGGAAGGAGCTGCGAGGAGCGAGAGGGAGCGGGGAAGTAATTCAATACCGACAGAAACGCAAGGTAACATGCAAATTGACAGACAGGACGTTTGTCAGGACATGGGCAAACACAAACAAAGGACACAGAGATGGATGGAGGTCGGATCGAAGGAGCGTCATCACATGAATTGCATTAGTTGCAGTGGCCACCGCACAGACGACCGGACCGGACCGGAGGAAGGACGACTTCGAGTTTCACTTTGTTTTTAGGCGGCTCCGAATCGAGCGACTTCCCAATGCAAATAAACCCGGCTCTCCGGCATTGTGGGTGGCGTTGACTGGCACAATAATGTGTCAAATTGCTTCAATTTAACGCTTCACAGAAGGGCGTTTCACGGGTGAGTCGGGAACCCTATATGATT